GGACCCACAGGCTGAGAACCGCTGCTCTTTAGGATTGCTGTGAGCTGGCATTGACTCGATCCTGGGGGCTGGGGAGAGGCTGGGAAACAACTTAAAAAGTCGGAGAAGCAAGTTATTTGTGAACTGACAAATAATCGCTACCAAAAAACGGGAAAATCGACATTTCTAGCACTTGAAGGCAGGGAGCCTCTGCGGGTGGACCATCCTTTTGGCAAAACAACGTAGCTTCTGATCATAGGAGAGGAAGGGTCGCCATGTTCTAAAGCTTACACATCCCTGCAGGTTGGTTACTTTATAAATTAACCCGGACCCGCTGCCAGCCATGCGACTCTGACTCACGGAGGCCCCGTGTGTTACAGAGTGGAACGGCGCCCTCGGGCTTTCCTGGCCGTCAAAAACAACAAACAAAATCTTTACAGACACAATCACCAGGCCTTTTTTCTGTGGCCTTTCTGGAGTGGTTTAGAACCACCGATCTTCAGGTTCGTCCCCAAGAGCAAATTGTTTGTACCATTTGTGATAGTTACATAATTGTCAATTTAAGGATTAAGCGTGTAGGGGTGGAATCTAGCCTGTCAATCAGGATATAGCCAATGAGGCTTCTGTGTGGGCATAGCCTTTCCCTAAGGATTCTGGTAATTCCGGTTTCTCCTCCATGGAGGTGGGAGACTCTGCTCACACCTGGGAGACATAGCAGCTGACAAGACAGGACCCTGGGTGCTGGAGAAGCCATGCAGAGACCCCTGCCAGCACTGAGATGTTTCCAATGCCACTGGATCCAAAGACTTTCTACCCACTGGCCTGTGAGCCTCTACATTCGGCGTCATTGCATGTGTTTCATGAGTCTGAAGAGGACTGTATAGATTGGTATTGGGCATATGGGCTAATATCGGACTTATGGACTTGATCTGGACTGGACTGGGATATTTTCTCAATGTTCGATTGCTCTGGTATATACAGCTCTTTCTGATACACACGAGTGTCCATGGATTTGTTTCTCTAGTCCACCCAGACTAACACACCATCCAAAACCAGAAACCCAACCCACGGCTGCTGCTTCACAGTGCACTTGTCCGACAGAGTGGAACTGCCTCATGGGTCTTCCAACCTTTCCGGAAGGAGTGCTGCCACATCGTTTTCCCACGTGCGGCTGGTGGACTCCAACCACTGCCCTTGTGGTTGGCAGTCGAGCGCTTTCACCGCCGGACCAGCACAGCTCCGCCTGCACCACACCCATCAACGAAGTCCCCTGACACAAAAGGCGGTGGCTGCTTAACTGTGGTACAAAGAATCAGGGTCAAACTTGCCTGGGACCCTTTAATGGATGAAATGTGTTATTCTGGGATAGGCCTCTCTCGGGTCACATTTCGAGAAACAACAGACAAAAACCAACCGCACACGAAACTTGGCGCTTAGCATCCTCTGGAGGATGGAGGCCGTGGGGAACTCCACCCCTGCCCACGCTGCAGATTCCTTGATGGTACCAAGAGGGTGGCCGGATGAGGTGGTCTTGGAGGTCCCCTCCAGCCAGAACCTTCTAGGACAGTTACCTGACCCAACTGACAGGTACCCAGTGAGTGTCCTTGCTGAGCTTCTCCAAGATCGCTAGGAGCTGGCAGCATGCCCTCGGCAGATCCTCCCTGACCAGCACGGCGTCCACCAGGTGCCCGTAATGCTGGTCGATGAAGGCGGCAGAGGCGGCCAGCTCCTGCTGCTGCTCCTCCTGTGGAGAAAGGGGTGGGTATGAAGCACAGGGCTGCTCTCCCCTGGAGTCCCGCACCTGCATTGCAAAGGTGAGGGGGGCCAGGTGTGCCAGCCTTGACATTTTAAAGTGATGACTAGGCCCCATTCGTAACAAAGCATGCAGACACGAACAGAGAGGGTAGTGACAGCATGGCATTCATGTCCCAGGAGGCCTGTCGGGCGGTTGATAGACTTGTATGTCCACACAGAAAACTCCCTGATAGTCCATCCCAACTCGGAGAGACGCTATAGGACAGAGAAGACCAGCCCCTAGGAGCTTCCCAGGCCTTAAATCTTTACAGAACCAGAAAGTCTCATCTCTCTCCTGTGGAGTGGCCGGTGGGTTTGAACTGTGAACCATAGCTTTAGGGGCCCACATGTACACCAGGGGTCCTTCCACCCTGAAACGTATACGCAAGGGTTCAAAGCAGTAGCATTCGTGACAGCCCCCCAGAGCGGAAGCAACCCAAAGGTCTGTCCACTGAAGACAGGTACACAAAATGTGGCCGTCTGTACCTGGACTAGTATTCGGCAATGAAAAGGAATGAGGTGCGGATCCATGCTTCAACGTGGATGCACCTGGAAGAGACTGCTCAGTGAAAGAAGTCGGAAACAGAAGGCCACATGGTGTATACCATTCCGTTTCTATGGATCTGTCGGGGTACATCTGTGGAGATGAAGCAGTCCTTGAGGGCTGAGGAGAAGCTGGGATCGATGGCTAAGGGGCCTGAGCTTTCCGTTGGGAGTGATGAGCTCTGAGGATGCGAAAACCTCATGAGCTGTACACTTTAAAACTCTTCGTTGTATGGTACGTGAATTGTATCTCAATAACGCTGTTAACATCCCAATGCCCCAAAAAACACACATCGCTAAAGCACAGCAAGCCACCACCAGGCTGGAGCCCGCACCATCCCTGTGTGCGATACAAGTTGAACACACTCTTCTCAGATGGGGTTGCACTGAATAGCTTACCGTAGTCGACTGTCATCAAATATTCCTCCAACGTACGACTGAACTGACTGCATGCCGTCCGTTCCAGCCATGAATATCACGTGGCGTCGTAATGCTCAAACTGAGCCCCAATAGTGGGCTTTAAGTTGTTTCCGATTGCTTATTGTTGCTTCTGCTGTTGCTAACAACACTGTGATGAGCATGCTCTGTGGTTCTGAGTGGTCCCAGACCAGTAGTAGCTTGTTCCTCTAAGTGTTCTCCGCGTTTGTACAAGGGAAGCCTCCCAGTGGTCCTCCTAGCCCCATCACGCTCTGTCATTCTATCGGCATGGACAAGTCTCGAGTGCATATGAACGAGGGTGAATGAGAGGCTTTACAGGAGGAGGGGCATCTTGGCCAAGGAGAAGGGCCAGCGATGGTACTCTTCCTAGGGACCGGCTAGACTGGCCAACAAGCAAAAATTGTCCTGGGATGGCTCATTCCCCTGACCCCTCTGATACATGAGAGCAAGCACACTAGGTCCCCATGGGAAAGCTCTGCCCGCGTGTTAGGATCTGGTGGGGGTCCTGCACAGACTGGCAGGGAGACAGGAGTTCACTTAGGAGCACAGCGCAATAGCCCACCCAAGAGTCTCAGAAATTAACTCGCGGGTGGTTCAAAATGACTTGCTGTTCTTGGATGCCACGGCCCCACATGACAGAGCAGAACTGCCCCCACCCCCTGGTGTCCTAGGCTGTGACCTCTATGAGACCAGATCGCCAGGCCTTTCCCCTGTGTCCCCACGGGCAGGGTTCACCGGGCCAGCCCAGCACTTCACCATCTCCCACCTTGGCTCCCTTCAAAGGGCTTTAACTCGTTTCTGTCGAGCCACAGCGGCTCCACGTGGCCCCGGACGACAGAGCAGAAGGGCCTCGTGGTTCCAAGGCCCTCCTCTTTAGGGAGCATGCTACCCCCTCCTTCTCCTGTGGCGCGGCCAGTGGGTTTGAACCGCTGACCTTCTGGCAAGCATTCAAGCGATGAACCAATGTGCCCGCAGGGCTCCTTCTCACACTGGTTTGTCGTTGTTGTGGTTGTTCCTGGGTGCCGTCAGGTTGGTTCCGACTCCTAGTGACCCAACTGCGCAACAACAAAACACCACCCGGTCTCACAGCCACATTGTTCTGAGGACCGAGCCCTCTGTTGCAGCCACATTGTCCATCCATCTTGTCCAGGGCCCTGCGGATAGTGACTGTTTCCACTTTAAAAGACTTGGGTTTGGTTCAGACGGTCATTGGTCCCTAGGCAGGTGTCAGACCCTTATTGCTGAGGAGAATAAGCCCAGAGGGTCACCCCCCGCTGTGGTCCCACCAGAGGTGTTTGGTCAGATGGATTGGAAAGACTGGCTTGAGCAGTAGGTCCATCCTGAGCCCCTCTGTGGGCAGCAAGCACCCTCACACGGCTGGGAGCACCCCTCTAACAGCCCCTCTTATGCATCCGGAAAAAGAAAAATCAACTTTAAACTTACAAGTGGGGCTGCTGGGGACATGGGAGGGGTCATCCTGTTTCCCTGAGCGGCAGGCTTCACAAAGATAACGTAGGGTTTGAACTCCGGGGTCCTCAGTTGCTTCAAAGCCTGGGAAAGGAAGGTCAAGATTATGTTCTTTGCAAATACCTTGTCAAGGGCTTGGAAACCCGGAGCTTTGGTCTCATGGCCTCCGCAGCAGAGGTCCTCATCCCACTGGTCACACGCCAACGGGTTTCACTGTGACACAGGTCTCGGCTGAGCCCAAAGGCCCCTCGCTGCAAGTGGCCTGTTCTAATTCACCTTCGTAAGCCCATCTCCACCAGCCAGAGACCCAACGTGTGTGTGTTCAGTCCAACATCCTGGATGCTATCCCACAGGGCCTAATGAGGTGGCCTGCTAACCTCAGGGTCAGCAGTTTGAAACCACCAGCAGCTCCATGGAAGCAAGATGAGGTTTTTCCATCCCTGTCAAGAGTTACCATCTCGGAAGCCCACAGGGGCAGCTCTACCCTGTCCTGAGTCAGTGAAGTTAACACCAAACAGAGAATTCCTTAGACTGAGCTCAAGGGTCCTGGAAACTGTCCCTGCCGGCTGGACATGCCCAGCGAGCCCGGGCACTTACTTCGGGCTCCACGTCCAGCAAGCACACTTTGTTGTGGGCCATGACCGCCCGGATGGCCTCCAGGCTGGTCCCGTAGAAGTTCTCCTTGTATTCGCCATGTTCCAGGAACCTGAAACGCCGCCAGACGGGAAGGTGTCTGACAGAGAAGACCAGCCAGACTGCTCGCCCACTGCCTCCTCCAGCCCTTCCGGGAAGGCAAGTGGCACCAGGGCCACGCCCCACAGCTGCCCAGCCCGCCAACGTACTTGTGGTGCTGCAAGTCCGCCTCAAAGGCTTGCTTAGAGACAAAGTGATACTCCACCCCATCCTTCTCGTGGCTCTTCCGGGACCTGGTGGTGTCTTTAAGGAGAAAAAAAGAGGCGGACATCTGGGCGAAGGCGCGTCACTGCCCAGCGTGGGCACTCCTTCCTCAAGTTGGCAGGTGTAAGCCACAAACCCACCTGTGCCGCTCACCCCTCATGCTACGAAGCCGCCCATTGGTAGTGGAGGGAACTGGGGTACAGAGGCCAACCTGTCCCCGGGCCTAATGGCTCAGCACCAGGAGGGGAATGCGTTTTGAAGGGGCTTAGGGGTCCCTCCCTCTGTTTCCCTTTGGGAGCCTCTTCTTGAAGACCCCGCCGAGGGGAGGGTCTCGATCCCCGAGGCCGCCACTTCTCATTCGGACAGCAAGTGCGGCAAGAAGTCACACGCATCAGACTGCGTGGGAATTTCCGAGCGCGCTGCATTTTCCCACGGGTTTCCATGGTAAAACTGAGATGTGCTCGCCCCCGGGGACACCCAGGTCCCCCACGGGACACGAATGAGCCTGAAGTGACACAGCGCCCTTTCCAGAGTGTTCCAGCAGAGACGGGGTCTGGGAGAGCTGGTTCTGGCCCTCGGAAGCGCGGCATGTGTGGCACCTTGGTCTGGCGGAACCGCTGGGCTCACTCTTCTGGCCACGCCATCCCCTTGCTTAGACCTCCGAGGTGCCCCCGCAAGCCACCTTTGCTGCCCAACCTCCAGCTCAGCTCATCTCCTACCACACCCTCCACACAAACTCTCCCCAACACCGCCGCATCCCTCTACATCCTCTGTGCCTGCTGTGCACACAGCCTTTCTGCCGCCTCTACTTGGAAAACTCCTATTCAACCTGCAAAGCCCAGTATAAACATCATCCCCTCCGGGAACCCTTTCCTGATCCTTCGGCGTCTGGCAACAAGGAGCGATGAAGCAAAGGCTTTGCAGCTGCCCCGGATCAGACTTCCTTGGGGAGCTCCCTTTACTGTCACCACAGCATCCGCTCGCACTGGGCACCCCAACTATATCCCTCTGAGTCCAGAGGGGCCGAGAGTGAGTGCTGGCGTGGACAAGGACAGCTGGGGGGAGGAGGTGACAAGCAGCAGGTGAGACACCGTTGGACAGCCTCATTAAGCCTGTGAGTCTGGGCGAGGCTGCCTGGGTTCAAATCTTGGCTCCACCACTTACATCCTGTGTGACACTGGGAAGGTTCCTTAACCTCTCTGAGCCTCCATATCTTCCTCTGAGGTACCGGATGATAACAGTCCCAAGTT